TTATTGTGTTTTGTTGTTCGATTATTTTTTTCAACGCATAAGATATTTATGGGATTTAGTGGCGTTCTCGTGATATTGTGATTGAATTTGGGCGCTCTGATCTTCTTTTCTTTGTTTTACGATTATCTTCTAATTGGATGATTGACGGTTGAAAGTATGCCTCGAGTTTGTGGCATATAGTGGCCATTAAAGGTGACGAGCCTATATGTCCACTCAACGAGTCAACTCAATAGGGCTCTTCTACTAATGTTTGGTGCAGTATACATACGAGTTTGGGCATCTTGTGGGTTTGCCATTCTTGGGTGTGTTTGGCATACTCAATTTTTTTGATGTCTTTTTATCTGTACAATTCCTTTTTTTTGCTCTCAATTGTAGTGGGTTTCTTCACGAGTATTTGGAAAAGTTCCAATACATATGCTATTCTGCATGCTTACATGATGTTTTAGTTGTTATCTTATTTATTTTTGAATTTATGTTATTGACATTATTTGACACTAAACTTTTAATGTAGGATACTACGTCAACAAATAAAATGAGATATATATAAAATTCAAATTTTATCATCTGGGAAATAGATTTCAATTTAAAGTGGGATAAATATATAAAATTCATGTGGATATATAGTGTTAGAGATATAAAATTTAAAGTGGAAAGAATATACAAAATTCATGTGGATATATAGTATTTAAATGAATAAAATTAATAAGGACAAAATTAGAATATGACGTGGATGCAAATACTATTTTTTTTTAAAATTTAAAATTTTAAACCAAATTAAATGTTATGTTCGAAGAGTATATTAAGCATTCTATATTAGTGCTACTGTGTAAAGGATTTTAAGAGGCCAATATGAGATCACCTTTTTTTCCTTTGCTTCATTGTAGTGAGAACCTATTCGGACAAAAATGAGCGTAAGTCTCACGTTGAATGTGAACGACTATACTATGTGGGTTTTTAGCTTGTTTCTTGATTCTATTTTTTGTTCATTATGGTTTTGAGCAGGATAAGGGCTTAATCTGTAAAGCCAAGATCTAAGGCCTCTATGCGACAATTATTTGTATCCTCTGATGAAATGAGAACCCATAATTAATTTAATCAAAGTGATGGGTGCGTAATGTCGAACTAAACAATTTTTTTCCTTTGCACAGGATAGAAGAATGATCCTAAATCGCATGGCTAACATAATAAATATGTCATACATATAAATCTCTTTATCTTTTTTAGACTGTGTATTTGCAAGCCTCGTTTGGTTTGAATTAAAAATCAATTAAAATTTCAAATCAAAGTCAATAATTAATTTTAACTACACATTTAACTTTTCAACCACACATCTTATTAACATTTATTAAAATCTATAAAAAAAATTTGATTTTAATATCTACCAAATAGGGGCTAAAATGGTCCCATGTCGACTTGAAGTGTGAATGAAGTCAACAATTATGACAGCTAACGGTCCATTATTTTATTAAAATGTCGATAAAAATTACCATCAAACAGACGCTTATTTCTTTGTTCTATTTTGATCATTTAATGCAATCTTAATTTGGTACCAACGCTCAGTACATCTATCGTATATGCAGTTGACAGCCGTTGTGTGTCTTTTCTTATCAATAGTCTCTCTCTTTTGTAATCTACTAGTTTTGGCTATCTTATTTTTGAGGTTATGTTAGCGTATATATAATAAATGAAATTAGGAAAATAAACTTTATTTAACAAAGTAAATTTACATATATGTTTGATAATTTTTTGACGCTTCATACTTAAATGTTACATTCAATGTAGAAAAAGATTTACAAATAGTCCATGTAATGAAGATGTAGCACTAAGGAACTAAAAGAAAATAATTTTAATACAAAGACACAATAATATATTTTCTAGGAACAGATAATCATGTAACATGTTATTGAATAAAAACTTAAAACTCAAAATCAAATGGATACATGAGTATCTGTTCCGATCGAAGAGAGAATAGTAGAGCTCTGTTGTGATGAACATTCCGATCTTACAATTTGGTTGTTATAACTGAAAAAATAAGCACACCAATAATTTTTACAGACACAACTAAACAAATCAATGATTGAAGTAGATTGGCTACATGAGTTACCATTACTCAACTTAGACAGAAATAGTAGTTAAATGAAGAATTAAGCTATTTGTACACCTTGTGGTGTACATAATGATTTACACTCCTCTCACATAGAGAGGGGCTCACGAATATTTTATTGTGTGTGGCCCCCCTCCATGTGAGGGAAGTGTAAGACTGTGTGTACATGATTATGTACACATAGTAAATGAATTTAAAACATATAAAGACACATGAATAAAATAAATGTGCCCCAACCTTAGCTATTAAAATTCCACAAATTAATCAAGTTGTTTTGCCTATGTGAAGGATTTATTTTCAGGCTTTTTCCAGTAAGTTCAACTAAACTTCTGGAAACTCGTTTTCTGAGACCTCGGAAATTTGTTTGTAGACAAGTAGCAGTTGCTCGCGATCATGACACCAACTTTGTAGTTGCGCCAAGTTTTTGTGCCTTAGGCGTCCTATTGTGCTTATTTCCACCAAGTACTCCCTTTCACCTAATTTTCAAAAATTACCGAGTAATATGCTATTCAAACACTTGCGAATAAACATATAACAGATCATTCTAACATAATTAGACAAGTATACCTTGGGTCGAAGTTGCATTGATTTTTTTTTACAGCAATAGGTGAAGGATAATCAGAATTCGTGAAGACTCCTTTGTAAACACTTCCAAAGCCTCCAGCACCAAGTAAATTTTCTTTGCTGAGATTGCGCATTGCCTTTGAAAGCTCTTTGTAAGTGAACTTTTTTGGAGCATGTGTTGCAAGTTTCTCCGTGACATCCGGAGACACCATGTCTCCGGATGTCACGGAGACACCTAAGTAAGATGGCTGTATGAATGCAGCCAAATTATTTCAAGACAGAAATGAATCACAATGTTGTAGCAGAAACATACTACACAAATTTTAATCCAAGATAAACATTAACTAAATTGGTTATCTATTAAAAACCCAATGAGAAAATTGCTAACCACACATATTAAGGCACCATCCAAAAAGAGATGCCCAAATTCCCACATTGTATAAGAGTCATAGAATTTTATAGCAATAAGCACAATTTTAAGAAGTTCATATACGGACTACCAAATATGAAACAAAACCCTAACTTTCAACCTTGATGAAGAACACAAAATATTGCAATCTCTCATTAAAGTAATGTCTGAAGGGTATATCTCTTCAGTTCACTTCACATTCAAAAATTGTTCATTTGGGTAAACATTATAATTAAAGATTAAAATATAATGATTAAACAATACAGTAAATCCACACATTCTGAACCAAGCCCACTGACTCCCCCCACCCAAACAATTTCACTCGTTCCATGAGGGCCATAGTCATTAATAATTGACAATAGTAAAGAAATTAAACTGGGCATCGCGATGAAATGCTTCAGATTTTGAGCATGGACGCCATGAATCAATACTTCTGTTCCTCAATTCTTGAAGAACATGAAGGAGGAAATAGCACTGATGAGGAAAAATTGATACAAAAAGAAAATTGGATCAGTAAAAATAAAAATGTGTGATTTTGGAGGTGGGTTGGTACCAAAACTGATGCAAATGGAAGGGCTTAACAACGTGTACAACAGAAGTAGTGACAATTCCTTGGTCCCCTGATTAGCTCTCTAATTTTGACAAAAATGGAGTTTCCTCTAAACCCTGAATCACCATAAAGAATCAATCTTTTTCCAATAATTTAACTCGGAAGCCAAACAAGAAGTTCCTAGTAGATTCTTGAACAAAAATTATGACTGCTTGAGAAAATAAGAATTACCTTGCAGCTGGTTTTGGATTTGAGCCCAGCAACGGTTAAATTGAAATTTGGGGATTGCTTAAGCATAAGAATACACATTGCTGTGAGAGTAGCAGCCATTATAAGTTTCCCTACTATATTGTTCTTCTTCTTCGGGTCTGCACAATCCAATAATTGAAAACAAACTTTTTTTATTTATCGTTACGTAACTAACAGGTGGGAGCAGCTCAACAAGGCAATTGCCAGAGCCAATTCTCAAGACAGGAAATTGCAACTGATTGTCATTCTAACAATTTAAGAAAATGTCCATCAGGGAACAAATCTTAAATTGAACCAACCAAACAGAAAGAAAGGGTGCTGACCTCAATACAAAAAGTTCTTTGAGTGCTTCAAAGGCAGCCAAAGCATGGCGATTACCAACTATTGCTGTCACCATTCCTGCATGTCATTTTATTCAAAACTTTGTGTTATAAAACACCAATTTGATGATAGAAATTAACAGGTAAACTTTGTGTTATAAAACACCAATTTGATGTTAGAAATTAACAGGACGACTAAACATAAGTAACAATCAGCTACTATGAGTTTGTAATTTGTCAGTTGGGGCATAAGATGTTTGATACACATTCAGTTTCTACCATTGCAGTACCCAGTGAACTTACAGTCAAAAGTAATCTCCTACATTGCTAGTTTCTTCCATCATGTTATTCTCTTGAACAGGTTTAAAAGAAGAGGAAAAAATCGACGAATTACTATAGCGGAACGCCTTTGATTAATTTGTTTATTAGTTTCTTCCATCATGTTATTCTCTTGAACAGGCGTAAAAGAAGAGGAAATAAGCGACGTATTACTATAGCGGAACGCCTTTGATTAATTTGTTTACTAAGATTTTGAGGTTTTAATTTCTTGTTAGGGCAAACTGGAAAAATATGAATCAGAAATCTAACCAAGTAACTTTTGTGTGAAGGTAAAATAAAGGTGATCTTATTCAGCTTCTTCCTCTCACTCTGATTTAAATAAAACGAACACATCAATCAAGAAGCAATACCAATAAATAGAACCCATAAAAATTAAAGAAACATACCTTAGATAAGAATTGAGATGGTATAGCTGGAGTTATGCAATCCAAGAAGCATTCAAGGTTTGTTTGGGTTGAATTCTTGTCAGGTGACTGTCATTTCATCATATATGCCCATTGCTTCATCTGGTAATTCATTGTTCCCTGATGAGGTATCCAAAGGTATGCTGATAAAAAGAACTTGTTCTCTTTTCAAATCCACCCACACCACTCTTGCTTCATTGACCTCTGTTTCTTGCAAGCATCGTAAGCATGCTATGCAAATAAAATAGTCAAGAGCTGCATGCTATGCAAAGGCAGAAACTTATTATTGGCATCAGTTAAGAGTTCTATCCAAGATTATATGCATTGCCATGCTGATCTGGAGGTCTAATCAAGATTTGACCCGATATAGTCAATTCATATTTAACTTCCATAACATTTTATTAGGCCTCTCCCACTTGGTATTAGGATTTGAAGCTTCTCAAAGAAATAGGTAACAGCGTCTAACTCTCAGTCACGTACAAAACCTTCTAACACACAGGTTCCCATGCAAGCACAAAAGGGGGAAGTCAGAATTGGTGTCACCATATGCAACTTTAACGGTGCACAGTAGCGTTTCCTAACAAGAAAAATGTGCATTCAAATAAAATAGGCATGCGGTGGGGATGATAACTCCCAAAATTCTTCTAATTTTAATTCAAATAAAATTTCAAATGGAGGAAATCCAAAGATATATATGGCTAGGTACATCTCAACAACCCGACTTCTTATATCCAATTACCTTTTAGGAGTACATTTCGACTTTGTTGGAAAATCCAAATCATCATCTTTCCTCAAGTTAAATGCAATGTCTGAGTTGAATATACTATTGAATATCTTCATTGCTCCTCCATATGGTGTTGTAACATGAATACTGAAAGTAGCTCAAAGCAAGCAGCTAAAATAAAAAGGAAACAAATGGGTAAATGCAAACAGGACAACCATGAACTAAAAATATAACATTCCAAACAAGGAAACAAGGGCACAAATGACTAAAGAAACCAAGATATTACCCTTAGCCCTCAATAATTGAAAATTAAAGATTGGTGGTATTTGGGGGACGAAAAAAATAACAGAGGAACACATATTTTTATGATTGTCGTTTAAAACTGTAGTTCTCAATTCAGCCATGGTAAGAACAATAGAAAGCCATACGAACTACAAAATAGACAAATTGCAATGTCAATGTATATATTGCAATTATTACTTTAATACATTTTCTCTTGATTGCTCTGAAAATTCGAATTGAAATGATTTTTCAAAGTTACAATAACAAAATTTCCTCCATTTTCAAGTTGTCATTCTATAAATTATAAAAAATAAAAAATAAGCATATTCAACATAGTCCTCAGATCCGAATTTTTTTCAATCAAATCAAAACATTGTAATCTTCAGTAACAACAAATCGTGTTATATTTTTTTTCCCCACTATCAAAGCAAGTTTCAAATAATTCAATATGACAATTGAAGAGCAATAAGAATTCAGTTTATCTTTATGTACCTATTTAAACAACCTACTTTGTCTAATGTGTAAAGGTCTCATTCATCTACGATGTAATCAAGATACAGCTCAACTAATTTGCTTCACCAGATGATTTAAATTTAATTATCAGATATAGATGTCTAACCATGAAATGCTTCCTTGCTGGGAAAAGAAACACACTCCAGCATTCTGTCATCATCCACCATCTGAATTTCTAAAGATAAATTATAATAGCAAGTTAGGTGAGCGCAATTTGTATCGCATTGTTAGATTAAAAATTTGACTACTTCGACAATCAATTTGTTTAAACATAAACCATTGTGTCAGCTCAGAATAATAGGCCATGCCTTGAAGATAAATGAGATTAATACATTTGAAATCTAGTAATGGCATCAAATGAAAAGTAAAAAATGAAACGCAAAATAATCTTAAATTTGTGGACCATCACTGGAAGGGAATTATAAATTATGTTGAACTCAGAGACGTTCTATATTATATAAATGGAGTAAGATGCATGCATGTACCCCTAGATTCTTAAAAACTCCCGGAAGATGTTCAACCCCAATGTATGTGCAGTTGTGCACCACATATACAAACAAATGATCCATAGCAGTTTGGGGTTACATCACAAGCAAAATTATAAAACCCACCTGGGAAAGCTTCTTCCATCAACGGCACCCTTCCAACAGAGGTGGTCTTTGAATCAGTAAACTGCACCAAAGCTTGAGAAATAGAAGAAACGGTAGTGAGGTCAAATTTTGTAGGAATTAGAGTCCTTAAAGCAGCAAGAAAACAAAACAAAAACCCAAAAGTAGATATACGTGTTCTCAAAAAGTGTAACGACGAAATAACGAAAATTGATGCTAACATGCAATTGAAGTATAAATCGAAGAATCTAAAAATTTCGGCAATGGAAGCACCATGTCAGCAAAAAAGGTGGTCCAATGGGAACAGTTTTTACATATCATTTTATTAACATAAGATGAAGACATTGTTGCAGGCACAGGCATGGGTTCCGAACACTGGACAAAGATTTACCACTTGAACGCAACTTTGGGGTTGGCTGGAATAAGCTTGACAGGTACTTTACCTGAAAGGTAGAGAAACAGGGGGTGGAAACATTTGCAGTTTGACTTCTACAAATATAAGTTCTGAAAATATAGATATGCTGCTAATGAAATGAAAACGTTATTTTCTTACTTGGGATGCGGTTAACTCTGTCTTGTATTTGCGTATCCTTTCATTATACTTATCTTTGATTGCTTTCTTAAACATATTCTCAGGTAGTAGAAAGCAGTCCCTGTGATCAGTGAGGCGGATTTGTAGAATGACAAATCATTATTATAGAAATATCATCGAGTTAAGGATGAACACAAAACAAAGATGGGGTATCTAAAGAGAGCAACCTGGGCAGGGAAAGCTCCCCATATGCAGCCAGTTCAAGTTTCATGCCACCAGCAGAAAATGCTTCATAGATTCTACAGTACGACAAATTTGCAAAACCACAATTCCTTATTACCGAGAAAGTACAATTCTCCAATAGGCTCATAAATTTTACATTAGGATAAATATGCTTTCATGAACTAAACCAAGTAACAAATGATGATCCACATAACGAATACACACCTTATCTGTCCATTCAGCTCAAGCATTTCCCCAATCAATCCATATATGTTCGAAACAAGAAAAAATACATTTAAAGAAAAAAGTTCAATTATTAAATCTCAAATATCAAGAAATCAATTTCCTTTAATTGAAAATAAATTGAAAATCTGTACCTCGCAGAATTTTCATCACTCCAATCCCTTCTCGAAGTTTCGATCCAATCTCAATTACCCATTTTAACTCCGAATCAATGGCATCAATCCCAGATAAATGGGACTTATTATACAGTGTGAAGATTTCAAAATGCAACTGCGCTGCCTTAGGAAGATCCCATTTTTCAGGGTCGGGTTGGGAAGTAACAAGATTCTGAAGCTTCTAAACCAGTCGAAGAATACGAATGGTAGACTGAATAAGGACAGAGGTAGAGTGTAAATTATTGAGCTGGAGAGTCTGTGCAGTGATCACGCAGTGGGGATCGAAGAGCTCAGAGAGGGCTTGGCGGAGGGACGACTTGAGAGACGATAGCGAGGAGCGTTGAGAGAAAATGCTGAAAGAGTACCTGGTTAACGGAGCTGAGATTTCATGGAGGATTTCTAGAGAGAAGAAAAAAATGAAATGAAATGCTTTTCTGTGACAGCTCAATAAACAAATCGAAAAAAATTGTAGATATCGAAATCATACCTGTCCTGATTTCACAGGTCCAGACACCACCGCCATCACGGAGGTCAGCACCATAATGAAGTCCATGTTCTCCATCAATATCACCACCACCGAAGCTGGCACCGCCCTTCACCTCTCTCCCCGACTCTGTTACCTTCTATACCACACCCACGAACTACTGTTTCTCGACCATAATCATCGATTGAATTTACAGGAAGTTTTCTTTCGCCTCTTTTCTATCGAGAGAGATTTCTATGGAGCGGACGAGATAGAAATTTATGGTAAGAAGATATTTTGTATCGATATGTAAAAGACCATTAAGCCCTCAATTTGGGAATTAATTAAAGTGGTAATTACACGAAACCATACTTTAAGTTTTTAAATTTCTAGCCCCCGTTTGGTAGGCATTATTTCACAAGAATGTATTAAATGTGTCAACTCATGAACAGTGGATGGTACCAGCAAATGTCAGGTCTTTGAAATGCCATCCATAATTT